CAATTTAAAGAAAAGCATTCTTTGCCGTTCTATCATATTTTAGAACGCTTTCTTCCCCTTGCGAAATCATTCTTCATACGAACAGAAAGCGTTTTGCAACTGTTCCAAAATCTATTAGAATATCTTTTATGAAGTTGTTTTCTGGAACGGTACAAAAAGGATTCCATCAAAATGAGATTAGTTTCTTTGCTGGTCTAATTATTATCTATGAGAGCACCCATGAGTCGGTCAAGAAACCGAAGTATCAGACAAACTTTCAACTTTTCTTTTTATATGACCATCTTAGTGTTAGTAATTGTAAGCCGAATAGCTCGCTAAGAAAGACAGCTAGTCACCTGCCATTTTCACCATTGAACAGAAGATACTAGAAAGTATTGATCTCTAATGGGAATGATCAATTGATCAACGTTTAGTTTTTTCATGAACATTTTGAAAGCAGCCTGCTCATAGTTTTTATAGTTGATTCCGAAACTAAAAATGACCATTGAATAGTAGAGAGCAATGTCTTTCCATTAGTGCAATGCGATTTTGTTAGCTTTTTTCATTGAAGAGTTCGAAATTGTTTTTTTTCGAAAATCTCTAAGGCAACTAAATGATGTGCAATACTTAGCCTAAAACGGGTGGAGAGATGGGGGCTCGACTACACTGAATCGACTGACACAATTTATTGTACTTTCGAAACAATGCAGAATTACTAGATTAGCAATAAAAATTCACTCTCTGGCGAGATACAAAGTAAGGAATCCATATTTTAAAGTTCATTGTCTTGCAATTCTAGACTGCTTTGATAATGAATAACATGAGAGTCACGAATAAACGCATCGGTTTTCATCTTGATTCTACAGGCTACATCGTCTATGCATAGAGTCAGTGTTATTGACAATCGAAAAATACAGGGAGAACTTTTCGTGTGATTGCGTATGAGTGAGAAGACAGGTTTTTCCTTTTCTTCTATTGACACAATGAGAGAAGACGGAATTCCTATGAATGTTTCAATCGTGAACAAAACTGTTGTTGCTTTTTTCTCAAAGGAGTGGTAATTCAGTATTGCACAATGTTGAAATATTACCATATATAGAGGAATAGAATCTCGGCTATCTTAACAGTCCATCGACTGCATAAAATTAGTATTCACATACATTCTCTCATTTGATTGAGTATCATCTGACAAAATTCAGAAGATAGGTGTTAGAGAAGAGTCTTGTCTGTTTCATGTCAGAAAACACCCTAGTTTAGTTGTAT